GAGAAGAGATTATGTTAAACTGTAGAAGTAAAATTACTTTCAGTAAACCCTCATCTCACTTCCTACATAGTAATATATCCATCAGCAGTAATAAATACAATTTTTAAAAAATATTTCAAAGATTAGGCTGCTGTCACAATCAGAGTAACATGCATGTTCATAAAACATCTCAGTGGTGGTAGATTTTTCCTAACACACTTATCTACACTCTCACCTTCCCCATGTGACCAGGGGGATGCACTGTTAAGATGACTTTATAGTCTGTAGATTTTTTTTTTCCTCTTGTGAGCTGTTGCCATAAAGGGTTCACAAGCCCATCCCCAAATTGCTTACAGATATATTGTAACCAATTGAACTACTCCTGAATGTATGTGGCCTATCTTCAGCTGAATCTGTCAGTGGAAAACAGAAAATGTATAGCCTTGCTAGATGTAACTTCTGGAAGAACCGCCATTGGGTTTCCAGAATTCTTTAGTTCACTATTGGTGAGAATAAGAAGTATTTTGTAATGGGAGGAAGGAATTGTTTTTATTTTAATATACTAGCCACTTCAGATTGTTGGTCTTAAGATTATCCTTTTTACTCTAAATTTTTAATTTTTATTAAAAGCTTTTTTTCTAAGGCATCTTAAGGCAAAGAAATGAACATTGTGGTGAATACTGTTAGCTTCTTCATTCTTTGTAGGGAAAAATGTGTATGATACCATAACAGACCACCATCACTGCTGTTATTTCTATAAAACAATAGGGCTATCCTGTAGCTGTTAAAGGTGGTATAATTGCTTCACTCTGCTACTATGACATCATTTTCTCCTATCCTAACATTTCTCCTACTTCAGGCCTTTTTGTTGTCTCCTTAATTAAGATCCTCGGTGCCAGGGCTGCTGTTGGGTCTGGCCAGCACAGTGTAACACCTATGCCCAGCAGGTGCTTAATATGTTCAGGACCTACCTGCTTTGCCTAGGGTAGCAGAGCCATGCATTACTGACCCTAAATTTTATTTAGAAAATACAAGCCATTCATGACGCCACACCCCACCTCCTTAGTAGCACCATCTACTCTCCTATCAGTCATTGGCCTTCCAAGGAAAGAGAAATAGTGCTTTTTACCTCCTCCCTTGATTATTGAGAAGCCTAATAATAAAAAAAAACCTGCAGAAGAGTTACTTTAGAAGAATAGTTCCTTGACTTGCTTATTTTCTAAACTGTATCTCTAAGAGAAAGTCTGACTCCTCATCTTCCCCCAAGCCTAAAATCCAAGTGAATTCTGAATGGGCCAAAGAAGAGTCATTAAGCATAATTTTAGGTTGATTGTTGACTGCATAGATACTTAACAGAAATATAATGGACTGGTTTCCTTCATGTATTAAAGTTTCATATGAGATGAATATTTAACACTTCGTAATTGATTATTCTTGCTATCTTACTGCTTACTGGTAAGCAAAAAATGGTGAGACTTTGGATGTACCTTAGTGCATTTGGATTCAGTATTTGGGTCATTTTTGGACCTTCTCTTGCAGAGAGAACCTTTTTTTTTTTGAGTTTTTCCTACAAAGACCGTGTTTACATAAAGCTCTCAAGCTGGCAGCTCATGAGCTCCATCTAGCCTGTAGTTGCGGTTTGTATGTTTCACAGCTATTTTCAGAAGTCTTTTTTTTAATTAGTTGTCATTGTATAAAAATCAATCATTTTTATATAAAATGTCTGAAGTTTTAAGCTTTTCTTAAAAATTGGATTAGCTAGCAAAACTGACCTAAGTTCCCACATGGCACCCATCCTTTGTCTGGAGTGAGGTTGTAGCTGTACGTGCTCTTATGGCTCTTATGGCTTGTATCACTAGGATCCCTTCACTCAGCATTTGAGGGGGTGAGCCCTGCTCTTTAAATCACTTGTTGATTTTGGTGCCAAACAGAATGCTGTACGCCATGCTCAGCCCTGATAACTTCGTTTCTGCCAAAAATCATTTCTGTCTGAGTACAAAGAGTTTTCCATGACTTGAGTATATTTTTAAATGTATCCAAAAGAAAGTGGTTGCCTAGAGCTGGGGAGATGAGAGGAGGGAGCAGGAAATGGGGAGGGACTGCTTAATGGGTAGACATATTTTTAGGGACGATAAAAAAGTTCTAAAATTAGGTTATAGTTTTAACTGTACGGAATGCCAGTGAATTGTATACATTAAACGGGTAAACTTTATGGTATGTAAATTATATCTCCATAAAGGGGTTAAATGTCTAAGACTCAGGGACCATCTCTTTAGGAGGAGGGCCAGGAATATGTGAGCTACCCTTGGAGGGGGCTCCTCAGCTTGCTTCCCTGCTGACGCTGAAATTAAGATTAAGAATTAGAGAGTTTAGACTATGAGAATTGTTGTAAAGGGGAGCCTGACATCTAGTGGACATTATGTACTGTCGTCAGAAAAAAAAAAAGCCCGTGACAAGAAAGGATGAAATTTTTATTTGAGAAAAACACAGTTTATAACCTCTCTGTGTTTAGAGTGAATTATCTTGGAATACTTTTTGGAGCTCAGAAGGTAGGTTTTGATAATGTTTCTCAGTGATGCTTCCAAATGTAAACGTTTGGCCACATCTTAGTTTTTGTTTCTGTTTTAGACCAATTAGATTCTGACTGTGCAAAAGAGGCTATTATTTGGCTCTTGAGATTATGTGTTCTCATTGAGAAATGGGAAATTTGGTGTGGAAATCCTTTGGAAATTTTAGAGGAAACTGTGTTGTGATACCTTTTAGCAGAAAAATGATGAAGTATTGCTATCAGGTGGGATATTTCTGGGGAGCAGACTTAGTATGGAAATTATAAATTCATTCTTGACTTTTCTTTTTTATATTAGGCTTTCTCCTGTTTCTCAGAGGATTTATCAATTATGCGAAAGTTCGGAAGATGCCGGATACCTTCTCAAATCTCCCCAGGACCAGAGTTCTCTTTATTTATTAAAGGTATTAAAGAAAAAAACTTTATTCTAGTGCCAGTGTAATCATGTGTTGTTACATTGCTGATTATTCGTCAGATTTAGAGTAGAGAATACACCTTGTGGTGGGGAATGAAGAGAAGGTACGGAAGCTACTTGGTAGTTTCTAGTTTAGTGAGGGGTGTTTCTGTGGAAAAAAGCTATGGAAAAAGGCGCATTAGAAAAACTGCCATAGGAGAAAACATGCTCTCATGTTCTGACAATGCCCAAGAGGCGTGACTGGGACTCAGGTCCCTAAATCTTTGAGCTGTGAATCCTGAAGCCACTGCTGTGGTTGTACCAGTTCCAGAGGAAGAATTGAGAAGGAGCCCTTGAGGCCTAATCACACAGCTCAGTTACATAGGGTCCCTAAGCCCCAGAGCTGGGAGAGACTGGCAGTACTTCAGGAACCCCTTTTGCCTGGCTATTTATTGACCAGCCCACAAAGGCTTCCATGTCTTAGAATTAGTCAGGGAGTCTTCCTGCTGCCTTTCTTCAGGTGCACAGCCTCATGTTACCACTCTGGTGGGAAGGTCAAACCCAAGGAGGGGAAAGGGAGAAAAGGGTCTTTTCTCCTGCCTAGAACAGGAGGACTAAGCCTGCCAAGGCTCTTCTTTGATTGACAACATGGTTTTCCCCAGAGGCTGACTCCATCTCATATCAGTAGCTGCAAAAAGGAAGAGATAGGGAATCTTGGGAAAGAGAGGCCTCTGGTAGCAAGATCTAATGGGCTTTCTTGGAATTGACTCTGTTCCTTAAGACTGTTGAGGATAGGTGGGTCCTGGAGCACATCTAGGGGCCAGGCTGGTTGACTGCCTCAGACAAGGTTCTGTAAAGTTGTAGCCCTTGAGATAAACCTTAATTGACAGAAAGTATAAATGAGAGTGGAAAATGTAGGGTAGGGAAGAATTTGAGAATCACTGGAGGCAAAGTGTTGAGGAGGAATAGAGACAGGAAAATATGGAGCTGGCTCAAGGGACAGCAGTTTGATTGTAGCATTAAGAAGTGTGGAAGGTGAAGGCTGGAAGGCCAGGCTGAGACAGTGGTGAGCGCTGAGCCCGTCTGCCGTGGAGCCGCAGAACTGAGAGCAGCCCTTTAAACGCAGGGATGTGTCGGCTCAACACAAGGCTAGCCCCGTGTGGGCGTCAGTTTGCTCTGTATTTGCTGTTGGGTTATCACAGTTTATCTAGGTAATTAGATGCGAAGAGGTCTCAATTTTGAAGATTTGTGGTGGTCTTAGGACGCAGAGTAGAGTTCTCCGTTTTGAAGATTCATTATGGTCTCGGGATATATGCTTCTAGAGAAGAAAGTATCTCCCATGTTTAATTTGGCAGGTGGTGAGACAGCATTGAAAGTTTTTAAGCAGCAGAGTATTATGTGGGAACTTCCTAAATGAAATAAATTTTTTTTCAAGTATGGTGTTACAGTAATAACTAACATTTGTCAACTTTTCCATATATCAGGTACCGCGTTAAGCACTTTACATGTATAATTAAATGTACCTACATAAGTAACAGAAGGTTACAGTGACTGATAAGCCCAGATACACGTGTGGTAGAGTACGTTCATAAAGCATTTCTTATAAAAGTTAAAGTTTACAAAGAACTTAGGCTTCTTTTGGTGAAAGTCAGTTTCTTCAAAGGAGTATGTACTTTTATTTGAGAGAAAATTTTAGTGTCACTTTTGTTTATGACTTTGTTTTTAAAGAAAGGGCATTTCCAGGGGGAGGGGAATGTTTTATTGCATGTTTAAAATGTGATGAGTGGTATGCTCTGATTCTGAATTCAGTTACACAGTTTGGGTACAGATGGATGTTGACACCACTGGCCTATGCCCTTATGCCTGTAGTGTCTTTGTTTGTGTCTAGGGCGTCTTAATTTAAGAGGCTTGTCAGATGTTTTATGTGGTTTTATGCAATTACCATTGTCTTCTTTTTTCTTTGCTCTACATGCCTGATTATAATTTATAGTTACTTCCAAGCTTTTTAAAGTCTTACCGCCTGTAGATTTAAAAGGCAATTCTTTGAGGTCACCACAGTTCTCCTTATGATGAGTGCTTGAAATAACCTACAGATGTCCACCAATCCACTGGTGACCGAAATATCCTGAGGGGACAGATTCTCCCTCTTCCCCCTTTTTTTCCCTTCAAATAACAGATTCTGTAGGTCTGGTCTGATGGTGGCTTTGAACTTCTAGGTGGACTGAGACCACACCTCTTTCTGTTCTCTTCCTTCTTCAGTTAGAAGGAGATTCAGGCTTTATTAGGGGCGCAAACATTATTCACCTTGCTTCTAAAACATGACAGGTTGACACGACAATGAAGGTTGAGAGAGAGACTGAACTCAGCTTTCCTGTATTGTTAGGGACTTCATTGAGGGTTTTTCGGTTTATAAAATTTGTTGTTACTGTTTTGTTTTGATCTTCTAAAATTTCTGAAATGTTTTATGGGTATATCCTAAATGTAAAACAAAGCACGTTTAGGATTACGATTTGCAGCAGGCTTCCCTTAGTGAGTAGTAATGCTGTTGGAGCTGTGAAGGGGGTGACAGGCCTGCTGCTCTCAGAAGCTTCATAGTGCTTCAGGGGTTGTCAGAGACTTAGGGGCGCGTGGGCGCTCTCCGCTGGAGGGCGAAGTAGAGTTTCTTTGCATTCCTGTCTGTCTTTGCTATTCTAGTTGATTTGGAGTTGTTCCTGGCATGCCCAGAGGATTCAGAGCTCTAAATTAAGGGTTTGGGGACTTGGAGCAGCATTTAGAATTGTAATGACTTCCTTACTAATTTTCAGTATCCCCAGAGGGGACCTGAAAAGCCCTCGTATCCCGTGGGACTGAATTTCCTTTGTCCGTTGACAGGGGTGAAAACTGTCCATCCAGATCCAAACGTAGAATATTTTCTTTCTGTACTTCAGAGGAAATTTAGTTTAATTTAGTTTGCAGATGTCCTAGAAAACCATCATGTAAGGTATGCAGATTTTCTTTTCTTTCATTGAGACTTCATACTTTCTTTAATGGAGATCCCACTAATTAAAAGTTAGCTGTGGGCTTATTTTTTGCTGGAAAGACATAGGTAGGGAATTTCTAAAACTGCTTTGCTGCAGAGAAAAATAATTCAATTCCCATGCTAAGATCTGGCATTGTATTAGAAAGAAATGTAAGAATAGTGACTTCTCTGTTCAGGCTGTCCACAAGATGATATAAGAACACACGCACCACGCACACACAGCTTGAAATGACCTCAAAAGGCCTCTTTCTAAAGCCAAAGTAGATGTTACAAAAGCTGAACACTAAACTCATGTACTGCTGCCACAGGGGCAGCTCTCAGGTTCCGTTAGAGCTCATTTAGGCTTATAAAGGAAATCTGGTTTCCTCCCTCGTGGCAAGAAGAGCCAGAAGGACGTGCTACTAGCGTTGGGCACAGTGGCAGCAGGAAGTGAGTGACTGACTGTGAGGAGGCAGAAAACACAAAGTGTTCCTTCTGCGTTGTTAACAAGGAACAAATACCTTTTAGAAACATCTTTATCTGAAATGGTCAAGAAATGTGAAGTGTTCATACTTTTTTTAATTTACCAGTTAACTAGAAAATAAATTTTTTATGGGGTACCACTTCCTCTGAGGCCGCTAAGTTATTGAGGAGTTGGCTGTCGTAATGTACGGTTACTTACAGTCACACAGGTAACTGTTTTCTAACTGTGCTCCAGAAGCACTTGTATATGTGAAGCGTAACATCTTAAATTTGTTCTTTTAACCACGTCTGAGATAGGAGGAAAGAAAGTTTGTAATCCTTGGTGGCATTGATGAGATAGGGCCCTTTGTAATTGTGATCGCTGTGACCGGTGAGCTGTACCTGTCAGGCATCACATATCTTAACTCTTTCCCATATGATGATAAATGTTTTCCTTTTTCCTTTCTGTAATCTTCTCCTTCCTCCTTAATACCTCTCTTATTTTATTAAAGGAAATTCCCCTCAAGTTAGTTTGATTTGTTGGACTGTATTGTAAAGTAGCAAGACAGTAGAAAATGTTTCCAGTGGAATTTTTACTTAAAAAAAAAAAGAGTATCCAAGAAGAAATTGTTGTCTTCCTCTTGAAATTAAATGATCTGTAGGCTGTTGGATTCCTTTCATTTCTAAAGTGATCTAATCTGAAGTTCAGTAATGATATCCACAGTCCCTAAAACCTGTCTCTTCTCCAGTTTGCACTCTGTCATTGTTTTTGTAACAGCTTGTAAGTCAAGTTGATCTGAACAGGCCTCTGAGTCCTAGAGAGCAGTGAGTGCCAGTCTTTGTCATTTGGAGTTTGTATGGTGATTGAGATCACCCAGTAGTAACCTGTCTAGGTCCTCTTCATGGATTTTTAATGTTGGATGGCTCTGACTTTGAGGGAATCTATTAAAGCTAGTTTACCTCTGTGGAAGCAGCTGAACTAAGGAAAGTGGCCAGGTAGTTATCTGGATTGTATCTCATGTTCTTGCAAAACTAGCATTTTGATCTAGTAGTAATTATTACATCAGTTTTCATCCATTAATGGAAACTGATAAAACTGAATTTACTTAGGTTTGTAATGAGTCTGGATAGCCTTATTGCAAAAATCTCTATTTGACATCTGTCTGCCAATTTTCTTTTTGCTTCTACTTGGCCTTCAGGGTTCCTTATATCCTAGTATCTTTGTTCCTGCACATTCTCAAGTGTCTAATGTCAGTGTCATTGGTGTACTTCAAAAGACCAACTGAATTTGGGAAAATATTAACAGTTCAAAAAGAATATGTTGATTTCCTCCAATGTTGTAGCTTCTCTGCATCTTGTCAGCCTTTTAAAGATTTATATACAGTAGTCTAATCAGAAAAGGGCTGCTTGTGGCCTTTGGAGTGATTTGGAAAGATGGAAAAGTGAGCTGAGGGCCTATGTATGAGCCCATCCAGCTGTCACTTGGTGCAGGGTTGTTGTTGTTTTTGTGGGGCTGGTAAGTAGGTTTATTTCTTCTTTCTTAGAGAAGGTACTGGGGATTGAACCCAGGACCTCATGCACGCTAAGCACGTGCTCTAGCGCTTGAGCTATTCCCTCCCCTCCACAACGTAGTTTCTTAATAAATATTTGTTAAGTTGTTGATGTGTCTCTTTAGACTATTTGTTAGCATTAATACAGGGAGTTACTTGTATTTTTTTCCTGTTATTTCCATCAGAACCAAACCAATTTATATGCCAATACAGAAATGCCTCAAAGTATTAGATGAAGACTGCATTTAACAAAGTATATGGACATCGTTTTGAGAGCATTTATTTTAGTCATACATGTTCCTTTTTTAAACTTAGTTGGGGCTACGTATGTCTTTTTTCCCTCAGAGATACATATCCCAAAATATAGTCACTTTTTTCCTAATTGATCAGGAAAAGTACTTGTGGTACCTGTGAGTTTACAGTCATTTTCTTACTTTGCCCTGCTCTAAGTATAGCGTGTTACCATTGGCATCCTTATTGAAAATCCTCCTTGTGTGAGATCTGGCAGAATTGGCAGCGTAAACATCTTTCGATGTAGTAGGAAAATTATCTGTGCATTTGGATTCTACTGTCTCTTTGTCTCCAAGTTTCAGTCATTGCTGTTGAGGTTAAGTGTAGGATGAAGGAAGTGTTACTTGCTTTCTGTTCTTTTGTTAGGAGATTTAGAGAGAGAGACCCTTCACCTCGTGGGTGTTAGAGAAAGCATTTAGGTTCTTTCTAGTTCTAAAGTCCTTGATAACTTTCAGAACCAAAAATGAAATGTTTATTGAATACTATGATGTCAGTGTATAGTAATCTTAAAGCTATGTTAAAATGTACTTCTTGTCTCCAAACATCCTGCCTTCTTTTGTGACTACATCCTTCTTTTAGCCAAAATAACAACCTAACCAGAGTTTCAATATTCAATATCCTTCTCTGGCAGATGTTTTCTGGCAGAGGCCTTCCTGCATTTATGAATTCTCTCTCAAGAAGCAAGAGAACACCTGCAGGAAGTGAATCAAGATGCAGAACACAGAGGAATAATTACCTGCTTTAAAAACAAAATGTACTGTCGAAAAAGATCATTTCTCTCTATTTGTTCCTAGGTGTAAAATTTTAATAGTTAATGCAAAATTCTGTAATCATTGAATCATTAGTGGTTAATGTTTGAAAAAGCTCTCGCAATCAAGTCTGTGATGTATTAATAATGCCTTATCGTTTGTAGTCATTTTAAATAGCATGAGCCTTGTCCCTGTAGTCAGTAGGGGGCAATCTTGCTTTATTCATCCTCCATCTCAAAAATGAATTTGGAATTAAATATTTTAGTGTAAGATATGTATAATGCTGGCCATTTAAAAGGGGTTTTCTCAAAAGTTAAAACTTTTGTTATGACTGCATTTCTGCACATAATCCATTTTGCTGTTAAAATTAATCTAGAAATTTATTTAATCGTACTGTGAACACCTGGAAGCAAAATCATAGTGCAAAATACATTTAAGGTGTGGTCAAGAATATATTCTTAATTGGTAAATAATAAGCATTAATTTTTCATAGTCTGTATTCTAATTTTGCAGTATCTTATTCTGTGTTGTGTACCTAAGGGATTGTAAAGGTGTTGTCACTGTATAAAATAGAAAGGACAAGGACAAATGCAGCCTAATTACTAAAATGCAATTCTTGACACTTTCTGTATGATTATAGACCCTACCCCTTTTTTTCTTTTTCTTTTGTCTCCTGATGATTAGAACAGGGGCTGGGAGTAGGGAGGGGATTAGGTACTAGGAGCAAAGAAAGAATTAGCTTGGAACTTTTGAGATGATCCCTAACATACTGTATTCCTTGCTTTTACAACGTGTTAGCAGAGACCAATGTGTTATAAATGTAGAGTGATGTGCTTTCTGCCAAGTGGTAATTCTCCTTGGTTTGCTATGTTAAAACTGTAAATAAACAAAACATTAATAAACGTCTCTTGTGTAGCAACTTTTGCTGTGGATGAGTGTTTAATTTCTTAGTTTGCCCTTGTTAATTGCTAAGGCAGTTTTTTTCTAATCTTCATTCATGCAGGTTCATACAGAATCATTCAGTGAACACAAAAAAATCGATCTTGGGCCAGTTTTTTCTTCTTTTTTGGCACAGAAAGTTTCTTTCTTCCTATCATACTCAGTATACTCCAAAGAATGTATATGAAAAGTAGTTATTCAAAAGATATGGACTAAAATATGGAGGAATTGTAGAGATCTTAAGCCATTCTGGAATTCCTAATTATGCTTCATTTTTTTAGACGTAATCTTAGATAACTTAATTCTAATGTTTTTTACATGTTCCCTCTCTTTGCCCTTTTTCTCAGTTGAATGCAGCAACAGGTTTAAATCCTTTGAGCACCCAGTTGACGCTAAAGATTTCCCATCCCTCCTGATGTCTATTCTTGTATCAGTTGTGTTAAATTTAGAGACCAGTATTTCGTGTAATACCAGCCATTTAATTCTTTTCTGTCTTTGACTTCTTCAAAAGACAAAGAAAAAAAATGTAGCAAGTTGGTCAGATCACTACACAAACCAGCACTAACATGATATAATAGCGGCAAATGTTTGTTTACGTGCTGCATGTGAATATCCAGGATCAGCGTGGGAAGGCAATTTAGGGGAGTCAGTATATAGTGCACAGAAGTGTACGTTACTTGAAAGCCAAACAGGAAAACCGAGTGTCTCCTGGATGGACATTTCAAATGATCATTCTTGCTCGAAATTTACTGATTACTATGAATAATAGTATAGTATGTTCTTGTTCAAAAGTTATATTTTACCATAGGTAAGAGTGTGGGGGGGTGGGTTATGAAAGTCTGAGAAGTTTTTATATTTTGAATTAGATTATACCAGTAGTAGAGTTTGGAAGAGTTTATAGCCTATCAGGTTCTAAGTTTCTAAATGAATATCTCTCTTAACCATCTGAATAAATTTGGACATGGGCAACAGAGAGAACTATTTATCAGGACAAAGTAGAGGGGACCTAAATCACATTACCTAAAACACTGTAGTTTTGCTTTGTGTTTATTCTGTACAGGTCCTTGTGCCTTATTTGCCTTTGAAGATTCAAGGACTGGAATTCTCATTTCTACGTATGTGGTGGTCCTTAAGACTTAGACACATGTAAACCTACAGTTTGATATGCTTTACAAGTAATTGGGAAGATGATTTCTCTTTTTTAAATGTTCTAAAAGTCTTTTCAGACTCATAAAGATGGCACCATATGTTACCTAGAGTCCTTTACTATTACGGTGGAGATGTTTGTACTGCACTGTTACTTTCCATCTTTTTCTATCATTCTTTTCGGTCTCCCTTTGGTAGGTTCATTATTAAGAATAACCTTTTCAGATAAATGGTGAATGTTTAAATTATTTGAAAGAGGATACTGAGGAACCACCGTTATTTGTGTGAGGTTATGGAATAAACTGGCTTGACCTGGCTAAGGGACAGCTAGGGCTCATTCATGACTACAAAGGTCCCTCATGTCTCTTACTTGTTGTTACCATTTGGTATTACACAAACTAAATTGTCTGACTTAAGCTGTGTCTCCCTATGAGTCATTAGTAGCCCAGATGAAATTTGGCCTTCATTATATTCTTTTACTATGTTTAAAGGAAGAAGTAACTACTGAAAGGGAGTTTCAGGGCCATTGGAAGTGACAATTCAACTTGAGTGGTTACCTGAGGTAGCAAGGTTCTGGGTGAGAATTGGCAAAAATAGACCCCACAAGTGGAGTGCTGGCCTCAGCTTTGAGTCCAGCCCTACCACCTCTTCTGACCTCTTCTCCTTGAGGGGTTGCCATAGTTGATACTGAAAAACCACTTGGTCCTGATGCTAGTAAACACCGATGATCAAATTTTAACTTAAAACGTGCCAGGCATAGATATAGAACTATACATTTACGTAAAATGAAGGGAATATTCTATGAAAAATGTGGCCCCTACTACCTGACCGAATCTGGTTCTTAGTGAAACACTGATGATGAATACAGAAAAATCATGTAAGATGTAGCTTAATAATTTCCGGGTTCTGCTGATGTTTTTTAGCTATTTAAATTTTCACCTTTTCAGGCTTTCTGAAGATGACTTGCCGGGTGATGAGAGGCGTAACAAAATGCAAATATATTTCCGTTGATGGTTTGTCTGTTTTTAAAAAATCTTGTTTTGTATATCTTTAAGCCTAAATAGCATTTAGAGTCTGTGAGGTTGGTAAGGTAGATTGAGTGAGAGCATGTGCTAAACTACCAACACTAAAGTAAGCTACTCAGAGGTTTAACTCACCCTTTGTCTATTCCGTGTACTTTGGTGTGACACATGGTTGCACTCATTTAGGGCACCCACAAGGAGCGCTCTTTGACAGGGAGCCTCTGAGTTCTGGTTCTCTGTAGGCGCTGCTGCTGACGTGGAGGACATCTCAAAGAAACACACCAGGAATTCCTGAAGGAGAGAGTGAGTTCAGGTCGAGAGTAAAAGGTTTTCAGGAGGAAAAGAGAGGTATGAAAACCGATTTTGTATCATTCGAAAAAGAGGCTCTTCTATAACCCAGTTCATTGCATCACCTACAACTTGACCGCCTGTCGAAAGACCGGCTCTTTGGACAATTTGTGGATGGAGAGCTGTCCGTCTGAAGACAGCTTCCCTGCCTAGAAATTTGAAATAATCCAGCCTCCACTGCATGGCATTGTCTCTCTCGCCCTCCAGTTCCTCTCAGAATTTGTCGCTTGTAGAATAGATGTATTACTCCAAGTTGTATTTTAATACCCATTTTTGCTTAAAAGTCTGGTGTTTCCTTTAGCATGGCTTTCTGATTTTGAGCATTTTCATTCAGTTGGCAAATTAGGAAGACGTAAACTTAGATGCAAACCTGTTAAACCTGAATATGGAATATATGAAACAGACTTCTTGTGTTTATGCAGGATTTCATCCAGGTCAGAAACTGAGATGTAGTTGTGTGCAATAGACAGCTCCAACCCTGCTTTGTATGTTGTTCATCCTGCTCTAAAAGTGATTAATCATTTGTGTGAGAAATGAAATGTTTCACAAACTTTTCCCCATCCATACATGATTGCAGGTTGATAGACACCCAGACTGAGGAAAGTGGTTTACTTTAAATCTTAGATGAGTGCTGGAGCGCTGAGAAGACAGTATTCATTGTTATTCATTAGTTGTCTGGAAGGTTCACCATAGGGTCAAAAACCTTTTAAAAAGAAAACTCAAATGGAGAAGGAGAAGTTAATTTCTTGACACAAACCATTATCAGCTAAATTATAGAACTAAGAAAGTGCTGCCTTCTGACTCTGAAACTCAGCTCAACTCTTTTCTGAAATTCAGAGCTGCACTGATTTTTCACCTTGCTAGTGAGGGTTTGCATTCACATCCCCTACTGAGAGCTGCTTCCCCCATTTAAGCCCATTTAAGTTACTTCCTGAGCCAAGTAGAGAGGATTGGAGCAACCTATTATCATAACTCGGCTAGAGTTACACTTGATGAAACATCCTTTTCATTTGCACGACAGTCAGAAATGCCTAAAATGTTCCCTTAAGTGAGGTTTTAGAAAGAATTTTGCCATCTGCTTCCTGCTTCCACATCTTTATTTTGACAGAACCATTTCTCCGGCTGTGTTTGGCAGTCGCTGGGTTTAGATGTCATTCTGGTCATTTTAGTATGTTGTTTTTTCCTCTGATTATCAACATTGAGGGTTTGTATATTCATGATTTATTTCCAGTATACATTTTAACTGGGATTGCAGATGAATTACTGAGCGAGCCACTGGATGAACAAATATTTTTACCACCCCTGTTATCACTAGCATCATTTGGTACCGTATAGTTCTAAGAAGTGGGCACTGCTGGGCTAAAGAAGTCAAATTAGTCCATTTTCTTTCTAGGTTTGGCTCAGTGACTCTCAGACCCTAAATCTGTGTACCCACAGTCGTGTGTGTAAGAAAAGCCCCCTTTTGGGTAGTTTTATATGTTTTCCCTGGGGCTGTATGTGTGAAATGGGTTTTAATCTATATGCAGGTCTCCCAACTTTTTTTGGCCTTAAGCCCTTCTGTGATTTAGCAGTTCCCTGGATTTAGGTATTGAAACTAATATTTTTCTGATACCCATCTTGTAGAATTATAAATGGTCAGACTTGGTTCCTGCAGAAGTTCTACAGAGTTTCCAAATGAGGATAACAGGTAAGTACTCCTCTCAAACGTTCATTTTCCACAGAAGACAACCGAATAGAAGAGACCTGCAGAGCGTGTATACCTACGCTTAAACTTATAGTTAATTTTTCACTAGCGTATTTTCATGGCATTGATTGTTGGGTAAAATTAAGATTAATTTTGTCTTCATGTAGGTCTTCTCAAAGTTCATGGCTACAATATTTTCTTTTTATAGCAGGACTATAGGAAGGCATGTGTCTGCAGAGCAATGGTGAACAGCCATAGGAAACATAATTTCTAAATACTTGGCTGGCTACGAGTGATTGTGGACTGTTCCTTAGAGGTCTTTAAAAATAAGGTAGATCCTATCCTCTGTTTGGAATGGTTTAAGGGTAAAGGAAAAAGAATGCATTAGCAGGCCCCTTAAAGTCGCCAAGAGCGCTTGAGGTTTGTATGTGGCCCATGTCGGTGACAGATGGAACAGGAAGTTTGACAGATGTCACGTCTGCAGTTCCCAGGCTGTGCTCCCTTTAATGTATATGGTGACCTTCCGCAAGCACTGTCCTAAATAGTCTGCAAGAGGAAAGGGAGTGTGTCTAAACGTCTGGTAAACCTAACTTGGGTGGCTTATTACCTCCTGCTACTTTTTTTTTTTTAAGATCCAGTCATCAGAAGAGTTGCACTTTGTCAGAATTTCCAAAATGAGGAATCAGAAAAGCACCCTCTAGTTTCTGAAGTCATTTTCAATGTTTGTATATTCTGAAGGAATTTTGTTTAGGTGGCATTCCCTAATGTTACCTTTAAGAATCCTTTCCCTAAGGGACCATGGGAGAAAGAAGGAAGATTAGGTGGGGAAGGAGGCCCCGGAGGAAATGAAGTCTGATTTGTTAAGAGGACAGGGGAAGAGTGTAGCAAATCGGTTCCTTTTGTTCTTTGCTTCTGCTTTAATCCTTTAGACTCACAGGATAAGATTGCCTGGTAATTGCTCGGAGCCCCCTATAAAAGAGGATTGGCCTAAACTGAAGAATAAATTGAAGAGTGGCTAAGGCTTTTTAAAAAAAAATTCCTCCTTAATTTGGATCACTTTTCTTTCCATATGATTATGTCTCCAAGAAGTGGTTGGATACCTTCTTGAGAGGTTTTCTTAAAAAAAAAAAAAAAAAAGGAAAGAAAGAAAGAAAAAAGAAACAACTGTCTGAAATTCCAAAGACTCTTCCCCCTCCACTGTAGCATTTATGTAAGAGTGTGGTGGATTAAATTCACTAGACTGTAGTTTAAACTTAAGAAAAATAAGAAGACTAATGTGTTTTATGGTGGTGTTTTTATACAAGTGGCTGGTTGGTAGAAGTATATTGACCATTTTAAAGTGCAGTTTTGATTTTTCAAGGGGAGACATTTGAATTCTCTAAGTACAGACACTGTACTTAGGACAAATTATTGTGTTTGGTCCTTGGTGCCGATCTCAATCAAGTCCTCATTAGGTGCTTATTTTCAAATAGTACCTGATTCATCTAAAAACAGTATGCTAAAAATTGTCACTAAAACATATCAAGTTTTACTAGCAGGCCATGGATACTTTCACTGCCTTTTATTTATTGCCGGATGTATTTTATTAGAAGGAAAGGTAAATAAGTGTGTTTTGCAGGAAATACGTAGCGCAAGTCAACTCCAGAAGCAGTTATTATTTCTTAACTAGACGGTCGAGCATTTACACACTTAGTTTATTAGTGACCGTCCCATAAAACTTGTAGGAACACAGGGCAAAACAGAGGTCATAAGTGTACCCAGGCTGGCCCTCTAGAGTGCAGCTTTGGTGACATCAGACACCTGAAGGGAGGCCAAGACACCTCCCCTACATCTTCATGTCCCAAGTGGCCTTGGCTTCACCTCCATCTACAGTGTTTTATTTCCCTTGGAAAGAATTACAGATGAAATTCAGACAGGCACCTGTGTGTCAGAAGTGATGAAGTTCTACCTCTGAAAAAGAGAGTTTCTATATATTATAAATACTTCTGATCTGGATTTCTACTTTTTATTTGTTGTAAACCACTTGACTGAGATATGGCTGGCATACAAAAAGCTGTCCATATTTAATGTGTGCAACTTGATGAGCTCAGAGATAAGTGTACATCTGTGAAATCATCTCCACAATCTGTGCCATAAACATCTCCATCACCCCCAAAAGTTTCTTCTTGCCTCTTTTTTACTATTATTATAATTTTTTTTGATGATAAGAACACATAACATAAGACTTACCCTTTTAGCAAATTTTTAAGTACACAGTATTGTTAACTGCAGGCACTGCACTGTATAGTGATTGCTAGGACTCACTAATCTTGCTAATGGAAATGCTGTGGCTTCTTTTTTTTTGGAGGGGTGTTGTTTGTTTTATTTTTTTGGGTGGAAGTAATTAGGTTTATTTATTTAGTTTTTTAATGGAGGTGCCGGGGGTTGAACCCAGGACCTTGTGCACGCTAAGCATGCACTCTACCACTGAGCTATACCCTCCGCCCTGCTCTGGCTTCTTAGCTATAGATGTTTCAGGCCTTCATTTGATAAATACTAATTTGTGATAGCTGATTATGATATGTATGACCTTGTGCTGGCTATAATGTATGCAGGATTTGTACAGAGGAGCCACTGGGCACAAGGAAATTCTGGCAAGAGAGAGGGCAGGACATAAGACAAAGAGATTTCCTGTCCAAGAAATCATAACACACCATCATTTTCTCTGCCTAATTGGCGTCAAAGGTGAGACTTTTTTTTTCTGCACTTTTCAAGTTGTGATGACCTGCCCCTAAAGTAGAGTTCACCACAAGGGCACTAATGATCTTCCTAAAACCAAGTACTCTCCAAGGAAAGAGATTCCTGCCACCTGAGGAAGCCAGCCCCAAAGAACCTAGGAGGATGGAGGGAAAGCATCTCAGGGCACTTGTGAGGCTGGAACCTGGAAAACCACTGCGAGGGGAGATGCGAGCATGAGTCCACTGGTGGGGCTGGACCTGTGGCTCCCCATGTGCCAGCTGTGTAATCGCGGGTCATTGGCTTGCCCCACCCAAACTTCAGTTTCCTAATCTGTGTTCCAGAATATTTTCTCACAGGGCTGTTTTTAGTTCTAAGTGGGATTATGTAGGTAAAGGGCCCAGCACTCAGAAGACAGCTCTTTGCAGGTCTCTAACCAGCTACAGCACTGGATCCCAGGGCAGGACATTAAAAGGCCAAACCTATAATTCAAACCTGGACATTTATTTCCTTATGCGGACCATGTAGCTTTCATAAATTCTGCCTTTCTTCATTCATTCTTTCCTAAAGGCTGTCATTAGCCCATCCCTGATAAATCAGACGACTCTACATTCCTGCTGCCCAGATGAGAATATGACTTGCTCTTGCTTTTCTGGGAATTCCATCATGTGTTCCTGTAGGACCTCACACATACCCATGTTCATGTGATCCCCACGGGTTGCTATCAAAGGGATTATTGCACGTTCTTTACCAGCAAGTAACCAAAGCCTCCCTCCCCCGGCAAATAATTTTTCAACACTCAGTCACATCAAAACACTCTATAAATCCAATAAACTCTGATTCTCATTTCCTTTCCTGAGTTCTGTCGGCTGAAATTCTGGCCTCCTTTTTTCTTGGGCCATATGTATTGTATGAGGAGATTTGCCATACGCTCAATTCGTGTGGATTTAGGTCTTCAAAGCGTCCTTTGAACTTCTTATCCTTCGCCTTCTTTCTTTCTGCACTTGCCTTAAATTCTTTGCTACTTTCCCGGGTCTTCATCATGGCCCCTTTACCTGCCTCTCTGCATCTCCCTCTCACAAGGTTTCCAGTACTTCTTAGATTACTCTGCTACTTTTGGCCTTTTCCTGTCTCACATCCCTACACATCTTGTCTCCCACCGTGGAGAGGGCCATTTCCTCCAAGGCCCCCTTTTGCCTTTCCTTTCAACTTAGTTTTTTTTTCCCCCTTTTTTTGAATTAAAGTATAGTCAGTTACAATGTGTCCGTCTCTGGTGTACAGCACAATGTCCCAGTCATGCATATACATACATATCTTCATTTTCATATTCTTTTTCATTAAAGGTTATTACAAGACGCTGAATATAGTTCTCTGTGCTATACTCCCTTTCCTTTCTCTGCATCCTGGTTGGGCCTTGTCAATCCAAGTTACTCTCTGCCCTCTTTACCTTCCCACGCAACCAGATCACACTTTACCTTCCTTCCTGAAGCCCTCCCGTTAGCATCCGCGAGTGCCCCAAGGTCGATGTTCCCAGCAAATCCAAGCCCGCCCAGTACACCTGCCTGTTTCCTCCTTTCATCTGGGACCTGGGGAGCTCTGCACAGATGAGGCCGCTGTTACAGTGTCCCCGGGCTCACCTCTGCTCCATACGCTTCTATGTTAGTTCGGCTTGGTCATTAGACAGACGACAGGGGAGTGTCCTCTGCTCATTGCTCCTTCTCTCTCTCCGTGGACACACATGACTTCTGCATGAATCTCTGGAGGCTTTGATCTCTCTGGAAAAGCGCCCAACAGTCAGCTAGCCCCCATCTTCACAATCTGCTCCATGTTCCTGAACCAGCTTCCAAGAGATAGTAGGATTCTGTGTTTTTCATTGAAACTTGATATTCTAAAAATATCCTAACCATTAAAAACTATAGTAAAATATCTTTATTGAAATGTATATGCAACCTGTGTGATTATATGTGCTCTTGTTTACAGACCGAAGTGGAGCAAAGATGAACACAACATATAAATGCATTTCTTCAATAGAAGCAGTATTTTATCTGCTTTGTAGATGGGAGTCTCAAGATTTTGTTTACAAAAAGTGTTCCACAGCTGAAAAGAAGGTTTGAAAACCACTGCCCCAAATCATCTCTTACTGTGGCTGAAACTATTAAATCATTGTACATTTTTTCCCCCGTGAACTTACAGGGGCTTCAAAAATACCGTGATTTTGTAATCATAATAACAATAACAATAATAATAATAATAAACAAATCTAAAAGTCACCTCTAATCCTACTACCTCCAAAAATCGACTCTTGGGACTTTTTACCCTTGTTTTTGTGAATTTATCATTTTTACATAATGTAGTACTAATCACTTGTATAGTCTGGTGAGATGTGGTTTCTCATTAAGCCATTTTGCTTAAGTTAGACATTAAATTCTTTTGTTTTTTCACAGTCTTTTTGCTACAATGGAGATTATCTTGCCTTTTCTTATTTTTCAACTAGTTCTGATGAATCCTAAATGATAGTGTTTTTAAAGCCAACTTTTAATACCTCTCCTTTCCACTGTTTCATCCCTAAGGAGAATGACTAGGCTTTCGGCAGTTATAACAAAGGCGTCCTATGATCTTAGTCTTTCACTGATAGGGTGACCAAAATGTCTCTTTTCATCTGAAATTCACATCAAATTCCTTCACCCATGGATTCAGCCCGCAGTAAAGTTGTGTTGCAGACACCTACCATAGACAGATAGTAATGGGTACCATTTACCCATCGTTTACCATGTGCTAAGCACCCTGCTGCATTCTTTATACACATTACCTCATTGAATCATCATCCCAAACTTTTGAGGAGGGTAGTACTATTATTCTCGTTTTAAATTTTTAAAAAGGGAGGCTTGCGAGGTTAATTGACTTGCTCCGTAGAGCTCTTGGTGGTGAGGCCGCTTAAGAGCTCCAAACTAACTTGTCAGAGCACAAAGTCTTCCCAAAGCTGCAACACCTGTGCTTTGAGCGCACCTGCTCTGTTCCCTCTTTTTGTTTTTATTCTCCTGCCCCTACAAACACTTCCTCTTCTCCCTCCTCCCAGGCTCCCAGCTTCCAACTCTCCTTCCTGGGAGTGGGAATGGGGGGATTCTGGCCTGGAGGCACAGAGCAGCCTCTGTAACACAGCCTTTGACCTTGGCCTCAGGCTTTCCAGCTTGTACCACTGGTTGTTTTTCTTACCACCTCCCCCCCACAAGCCAGTGGGGCAAGCCCAGCTGATGATGTGGGTCTTTCTAGTTGCTGCTCAGGTGGAGCGATTCCTGTAGGCTCTTAAGGCTAGTGCTGGATAGAGACAGGACAAGACCCAAGTGGCCTTCACTTTCTCAAGTTACACAGAATGACATCTTGAGACAGTATATCAATACTATTTTTTTCATTAAAATTAAAAAAGAAATTTTTTAATTGAAGTAGAATTGATTTACGATGTTGTGTTAGTTTCTGGTGTACGGCATAGTGATTCAGTCATATATATATATATATATTCCTTTTCAGATTCTTTTTCATTATAGGATATTATAAGATATTGAATATAGATCCCTGTGCTATCCAGTAGGACCTTGTTGTTTATCTGTTTTATGTATAGTAGTGTGTATCTGTTAATCCCAAACTCCTAATTTATCCCTCCCCCTCCTTTCCCCTTTGGTAACCAGAGTTTGTTTTCTATCTCTGAGTCTGTTTCTGTTTCATAAATAAATTCATTTGTATCTTTTTTTTTTTAGATTCCACATGTAAGTGAGTCAGAGAAAAACAAATGTCAATACTAATTTCTTATTAGTGGCTTCTATTTACTTAGCACTTACTATGTCCAAGTACTGTTGTAGTGCTTTTCATGAATAATATCTTTTAATCCCACAATAATTCAACAGTTAAAGTGCTTTTATCCCCATTTGACACTGAGGGAGCTGGCTCAGAGGAGTCAAGTAACTTGGGTAATGTCACACAGCAGACAGAGCAAGGATCCAAACACAGGCACTCTTGACCACTAATCAGCACATCTCAACCTCTGCTGCTTTTTTTTTTCAAAGATAATTCATGTTGATTATGGAAACATTTCAACTGATTTTGCAAAATTTGCCTGCTGACAATAATGCTAAATCTGAAATATATTTTTAACTTGTTAAAATGCCACTAATTCTAATGTGTACCACTGTGAACCTTTATGGGATGAACATGTAGTCTTTGAACTGCTGAAAATAATCCTGTTTTCACATCAGAGAGGGGTGTTGGAAGCTGCCCAACTGATGTCATATATATTGAGCTGTTCATGAGAAATATTTCTTCACTGAGATTTGAGAACTAATTACTGAAAACAAAAGTTACATTCACAGGTCTACTATTATTAGTCTCATCCTTTTAAAGTGAACTTTATTTTTTTATACATGATATTTAGGTTAAGCTCTGTTGTGAACCTGAAAGGAAACAATCCATTATATTTTATCATCCTTTAATAGACTTTTCCAAGAGCTTTATAAGTACTCTAACCAGTGCTTCTCAGACTGTAACATGCATATGCATTGCCTGAGGATCTTGTTAAAATGCTGGTTCTGGTTTAGAAGGTCTGGGCTGGGGCTCAAGGGTCTGCATTTGTAACAAGCGCCCAGATGATGTCCAAACTACCCATCCAGAAGAATCATACCTGGAGGAGTGGGGCTCTTATCATCTTAATATTCAAGAAAGAAATTCCAATTCAAAACTCTTAATTTACAAACACTGTTTGCTAAATAAACCAAAATTCAAATGGTTGTGAGAAACAACCCCCATCTTCCAGCTCCATAGCAGTCTAACTTTCTTGGACTTCCTCTGGCCTTGACCTTGACTCCTTTTTTGGTTGACATTAGTGCCTATGGGTAAACTCACCAGCTTCCCCAACCCCCCTTGCTTCTTTGTGAGCTGAATCATTCATGCCTTACTTACTAGTGTGAGGTGGGCAGGTCATGGCTTGAACTAGCCCGCGTGTCCTGCTTGAAGACTCTGCAGTGAATTTTCTAGAAAACATTTTCTCAATCTCAATTGTTAAGAGGCTGCTGTGAGGCAGGGCAGGGGGCAGAGAGAAAGATTTGGAGCCCCAGGATTGAAGATCAGCCTGGTCCTCCCTGTGTGCATTTGTCTGATGAAGTGCAGGAAAAGTTTGCCTTTCTCCCACCCCTGCTCCGCCTACTCTGAGCCTGGTCCATGTGCAGAATGGACTCCGGATGGTAGTTGTGGATGCTCGGAGCACAAAGGGTTTCTTGTTTGCCCAGGGGTCTATCAGTGTTTAAATAGAACTGGCGGAAGCGCAGGCGCACCATATCAGCAGCTTATCGGGGCTCATGGTTTTCCATGTACCTTTGCTAGTCTCTTGCGTTTACCCAGTTCCATTAGCACCGAGTTAAAAATTGCAAGGCCAGGCTGTACTGCACCGAGATAGGGCAGAGAGAACAAGCCACTTACAGAGTGTAGGGGGCTATGTGGGTCCGTGAGCTCTTATTTGCCTTCTGCCCATGTTGAGAATTAAGCTGCGGTGGCCTGTGTGTGAAGAGGCAGCCAGACAGAACCAAAATCTAGTTTAGGAATGCATCCAGAAGATAGGATGATGCCGGGCATCCCTGGGGCACGAGTAGCGGAGAAGCCTCTTGGTAGCCTAGCTCTCCGTCTTCGCTCACCAGGTCTGCCGCCAGCTCAGGAAGTGATTAGAGGAGGTGTCACCTACGAACACCTTAAAATTGTGTGCCATTTTGGCCTTGGCAAGAGTGTCTGCAAGCGTGTTTCTCTGGGAGCGGATCCATGACCCAAAGGGCTAAATATTCCTGTGCTATTTGGGTTGCATCTTCCTGGAAGGAAATCTTTATGACAGATAGATGGGGAGCCTGTTTTAGAAATGAGTCCTTTCCATTTCTAATCCTCCCTCCTACTTTCCAAGCACTTCCTCTAGGCTTTGTGCGATAGTCTTTATCAATATTACCTCATTTCATTCTCAGAACAATCTAATGAGATAGGAATTCTCATTTCTATTTTACAGACAAAGAGACTGAAGCTTAAAGAGTTGTAATTTGTCCAAGGTCACAGAGCTAAGTAAACAATAGCGCTCAGCACCTGAACCTAGGCTTTCTGATTCCATAGCTCTCTGTACTGTGGAAGGCTGTCTCTAGTGTTTTAATATACTTGCCTGAGCTTTTCATGCACATTGGTTAATTTGTCTAGTTGGCACAGAACTGTCCCAAACTTTGGTTATTGAAAACTGAGCTTCATGAGTTTTGTCCTATTTCTATCTCATCTATATTATTAAATTTCTACTTAAAATTTTTCTATTAAATGTTACTAAATTTGTTATTCCTTAGCCTCATTCTAAATAGCATTCATGAAGTAACCCTTGACATGCTAATTTCACTTTTCTCAAATTCACACTAAAATAAATATATTACCAATAAAATGAAAAAGTGTTATGCCCACCTAACATCATTTAAGGTACCGTCAGGGTCTTGGTACTGCACTTTGAACAATCCTGCTGTAAGATGTGAAGGCCGAGTGTCTGTACTGCTGCAGAATTGTGCCTGAACTATTAGCCTTTCTCACCCAGGCCCAACTCCTGGAGCATGGGCTGGGAGCCCCAGAGAGGTGGTTGGGTTGACTCTAGGGAAGAAACACTTCTGTGTCTTTTAGGACCTGTTTTCATTGCTCTAAGGAGGCAGCAGTACCAAGAAAAAGAATATGACTTCGCTTACCTTGAGGGTGTTAAAGTATTCCAGAGATGGGGGCAAGATTCTGTGCTCAGTGCTGTGTGCTCCCACCGAAAGGGAATTGCTGGGACCCTGGGAGTGGTGGAAGAAACAGCCTCACTAGGGGGCAGAATTTGGGTGGTCAGGGGTCCCAGCTGACGAAAGAGTCCTCTACCGAAATCCCATTTGTTCCCATTTCCATTCTAACCAAATGTTCCTCCCCAAATTCCATCCCCTCTGGGCCATAAATTAATGGGAAATTTGGAGCCCTATTGTCTGAAATAGTGTGTGTATTTGACCTACAACACTGTGTCTTTAATATAAGCAGCTAAAGAATAATTCCGAATTTCCTGACTTCGCTGTTATGCCAAAAATGTAACCCTCAGTAACCAAGCATCCTCATTTTTTCCAATAAAGTTGCAGTTGACGTGTTAAACTTTCTGGTCTTGGACCTTCAGCAACTTGGTCATTTGGCAATCCCTTCAACGGGCAACTAAGACAAAGAGGGGGGCTAGTGGTGTGGGGAGTCCACACTCCCGGAGTCTGTCTTTTTTTCATTGGCCTAGAGAAATCAGAGTGCTTTTCAAGGACCAGCTGGTTCGGATCTCTCCAACTAGGCCCACCTGTAGCAGAATGGTGACGTCAGTCTGCCCCTCAGCTGATCTGGTACCTTCATCATTCCAGATAGCGGTCGCCTGCCAGTGGTGAGTTGGGCTGTTACTATTTTCAGTACCAAGATGTGAAAAAAAAATCTGCAAAAAAAGGAAGAAAAGTCTGCTCTTGGATTGGGCTGGGCATTTAGTATCCTGACTCCTCATCCTTGAAGTTCAGCAGTAGCTGACTCAGGATTCTCCTCTGGGAGCTGCAGAAGTTCTGGTCTCGAAACAAAATTCGACCTCTCTGGGGGTGCGGTTCCTCTACTGTCTGTACCCACAAGCGCCACGGCCTTAACCAAGGATTCCCGGTGCGGGACTCGTAAAAATGTCCCTCGTCGGCCTCCCTCTTCGTATCCCATCTTCCACCGCTGCCCTCCTACCCCCAGGAGCCTGTGGCTGGAGTTTGCAGGAACACCAGGCGCTCGTGGAACGCTGCCAGTCTCGGGAGATTCCGAGGGAGATAAAAAGCACATCTTTGACCACTTCTTTACCAAACAGACCCGAATGTGTAATTAAAGGCCCTGGGACTCTGCTGGAAATAGGTTTAAACTTGAGGTAATCCCTTCTGGCACTTCCTCTTCCTAATAACCATCAACAAAAATCAAACAAATCCACCTGGCTCCAGCCAGTAAGTCTAACCAGCAAAGGTCACGGGAGGAGCGATAAGAGAAGAAAGCGGCCACAAACAGCATTACTGGAAACACATGTCGGGACGTGTTAGCAAGTGACTCCTGCCAGCACCATCCTGGCCCCGAGATGGGCCGGCTCCGCTGTCGAGAAACTCATTCTCTGCCACTGGGAAGGAATGTGACACGCATGGGAGGGGAAGGCGACTTCGGGGAACTCCGCCCAGCCTTCGTCTCTTCTCTCTGTAAGACGTGACTCAGCCAGAGAGACTAGAGGTGAGGCATGTTCTTTTGAAGCTAATTTTTTCTTCTTTCCTAAAGTACTGCATGGCTGTTACTGAATATATTATTGAGAAGCAAAACACAGGAGAAAATGATTTCCCCCAATCCTGCCATGTGGTGTCTGCCCCGCCAATACTTCGGTGCATCTTCCTTCAGGATGTTTTTGGTATTCGCATACGTATCTAGGTGTGAAATACAGAAACGCAAATGCATGGGAAAGGTTTTTCAGAAACTTTCAACTTGCGAACTATTTTGAGCTTGCTTTTTGTTTCAATCTATCGCGAGCATCTTTTTTCATTGTTTTGCGTCGCATCCTTTTAAGAGTGAGTCGTATTTCATCACCTGACTATACCGTAATTTACCTTAATAATCTGTTATAGAATGTCAAGTTTGTGTCCCAGTTCCCGACCTGTCCTCCCCACTCAAGCTATGCTGTGGAAACTTCCTGGGTATCAGGCTTTGGGCCGAAAGGGCAGGACGGTCTGCTGGTTTGAGTCTGCCCAGGTGAGCTCAGCATCCCCTACCTCTGCTTTGGACGGGAGGAGACCTGGTGTCTCAGAGATAGTAGGACCCTCACCGTGGGGGGCCATGCCGGAGGCACCTTGAGAACCACGTGGAGCAACCCTGTGGGAGGGGGATAAGGCCAGCTAGACCCTCCCCACTGCCTGGAGACACTGGCTGCCAAAGCCAAGGTTAATCCAGGATAACGTGGCTGGTCGGGTGGGGGTTTGCTGGGGACCACATGAAAAAGTCTATGAGAGCTTGAAAAACAGGAAGAGTCTTCCTTCCCTTTCCTAGGTGCCTATGCTCCTGTGGGCCCCGGGGTGGGTCCATGCCAGACCGAGGGCTGTGACACTAAAATCGAGTGGGTCACTGGTGAACTCAGCCCCCAGAGTTCTGCAGACCGCTTGCCTATTTGTTCCCCCCACGTGTTCGCTATCTGTGACATTTGCAGCAGGGGATTGCAATTAGGTAAAACTGCCAAGTCAGGACAAGGTGAACGAAACGGGTTGTGAGTGCCCCTACTATTGTGGGGCTGGTGCCTGTTAGCACCTCCGTTTTCCAGGAGAGGAACGTCAGGCGGAGAATTGTTGAGTTGCTTGCCTAAAGTTGTGGAGCTGGGATTCCAGCCCAGGTCTGACTCCAGAACCTGCCCCAAACCATCATGCCACACGGCCTCATTAGGAAGCACTTAGAAAAGCTTTCTGGCCAGGAAGGTTTATAGATATAACTTACTTAGAGTTAACAGGACAAAATCAGGCTGTAAAAAACACCATTGCTCAGTGGTATTTAGACAACTAGCTTTGCACAAAAAGCTGGGATTGGAGGCAGGGAGGGCGAGTCCTGGAAGCATCCTCCTCAGAATGGTTTTATGTGAATTTGTCACAACAGGAAGTAGGACTAATGGGGCGACACTGAGTGTTTGCATCTTGGGCTAGGATGCAGCTTCAAATATTTACTGTTTTGAACTGTATTTCTTAGTTTGCATATCTTTGACTATGTAACCTCAGAGTGGGTCCATCTTAAATCTAACTACATATTCCCAAAAGTTGGCTTTAAAAACAAACGAGGACAGAATTCCAGGTTTGTGCTTTTCCAAACTTTTCTTTGAAATTTGGCCTGAGATGCTAATAATTTTGACCTCATGGGCCAAAATGAAAAAAGGCTTTGGAAGGGAAGAATGGACTTGGCAGTATGTGTTTGTTGTAGGATCTCCAGACTGTCAGTGAACAGCATACGGCGAGGAAAACTGTGGCATCATTACAGCCATGTGGGAGCCTGGAACTGGTTTTTTAGCGCCATTCCCGGGAAGGAGGGAAGAAAATGTGGTACCAAGGAGCGCGCTCTCACTTAAAATAAAATCCCAGCCCACAGAGGCACGGACTTTGCGGGAGGGAGATTTCCTGGGGAGGAGCTGCTCTTGCCAAGATTATAATTGGCCCACCCACCCCCTCCATCGGAAAGACGGTGGCACCAGGTCTGTGAGGGTTGTTTTTTTTTTTTTGCCTACTTAGGGACACTTGGGGAAAACCCATGTCTTTGAGCCTAAGCGCCTAGAAACTGACCTGGTTTTGCGTCACACTGTCATCCTGCCAGAGCCCAGAGGACTTGCTGAGGGGCCAGGCCTGGCCCCGGAAATGGTCTTAGCAGCACCGCTGTGCACACAGAAAGGGCTTTCTCCTGATGGGGTAGGGGATTCTGCTCTTTCTGCCCTCTTGCCTGGGTCTCAGGGCTGGATTGGAGGCAGTGAATCCCATCTGCTTGGTGAGTCCCTGTCACCCATAGAGAAATTGGATGGCCTGGAAGCCAGGGGCTGGGGGACATAGGGACCAGCACGGGCAAAAGTGCCCACCTGCCCAAGGACAGAACATTTAGGCAGGGCTCAGGGCTTGGAGGTGGCCTTTGGTGGAAGCAGATTCCAGCAGGGCCCCTAGCATTTCCTGGCAACTGGGGAGGAAATCAAGGGAACACAGGCCACCTGGAGGGATTCTGGAACGATCAGGGTAGGGGAAGGCAGAGTGGGGAGTAGGACCCAACGTGGGCAGATGAGGTGGGGGATGGGGATGAACTCTGAACACGTGGTCACTTTTTCCTACTATGTTGGGTACTGCCCACACCCTCCCTGTGTCGGGCGGCACTGCGGGTGTGAAGTGTGTAAAGACAGGACAAGATCCTGAGCGTGAGGAGCACGGCCGTAAGCTGCAGTGGTAGACAACCCCCTAACTACGGCGTCACCCGCACAGTAGCGAGAGGAACCGAGAGCGGAAGGTGGTGTTGGTGCCGGTGCCCTGCAGCTGGTGTGTTACTCCCTCTGCTTACTCACGTTTCTCAGCGAGGTCTTCACAAGTGGATCGCAAGAGCCTTTAGGCCAGACACCAGTCTTCTGCCTCTCATGGCTGTGCGAGCCTCACCCGTTTGAGAGTAAGTGAAGGTCACTGCTTGTGAACTGGCCAACCAGCCTTGAACCCTGTGGCGGGAGGCGGGGCGGGGCTGATGTGTTTGGAGACGGCAGCCCCACAGACTCTTTAGGGAAGGAGGCAGAAAAGCTTCCAGGTAGCTCACTCAGGCTCTGCTTTCTGAAATGCCCGTTTAAAATCTATTGCACATCAGCTGTCCTGCTTTGGGCGAGTTACTTAACCTCTTTGAGGCTATTTCCCTGGCTGTGAGCGTGGACCACCATGCTGACCTCACGGGATCTGAAGGGCTGCTTTAGCTTTGTGCCCGGCTGTGGTGAGCATTCAGGACCGGGCTTGGCTTCTCAGGGCTCAGCTCTGAGTCTCTTTATCTTTTTTTTTTTTTAATTGATTAGGGTTGACAATATTGTGTTAATTCTGGTGTGCAGTGATTCAGCTACACATGTATATATTCCTTTTCATATTCTTTTTCATCATACGCTATTACAAGATATTGAATACAGTTCCCTGTGCTATACAGTAGAAACTTGTTGTTTATCTGTTTTATATATAGTAGTGAGTATCTGAAAATCCCAAACTCCTAATTTATCTGTTCCCTCCCCTCCCTGCCACCTCTTGGTAACTGTAAGTTTGTTTGCTATGTCTTGTGAGTCTGTTTCTGTTTTGTAAATAAGTTCATTTGTGTCGTATTTTTCAGATTCCACATATAAGTGATATCATATGGTATTTCTCTTTGTCTTTCTGGCTTATTTCACTTAGTATGACGATCTCCAGGTCCATTATGTTGCCACAAACGGCATTATTTCATTCTTTTTCATGGCTGAGTAGTATTCCATTTATCTATCTATCTGTCTGTCTGTCTATCTATCTATCTAGCTATCACTGTAGGTGTATCATATCTTTTTTATCCAGTCATGTATCTTCTTGAACTAGAGTTCCCTCCAGATACATGCCCAGGAATGGAATTGCTGGATCATAGGGTAAGTCTATCTGTAGTTTTTTTAAGGTATCTCCATACTGTTTTCCATAATGGCTGCACCAAACTACATTCCCACCAACAATATAGGAGGGTTCCTTTTTCTCCACACCCTCTCCAGCTTTTATGTTTGTGGACTTTTTAATGATGGCCATTCTGATTGGTGTGAGATGATACCCTATTGTAGTTTTGATTTTCATTTCTTTGATAATTAGTGATATTAAGCATTTTTTTTTCATGTGCCTATTGGCCATTTGTATGTCTTCATTGCAGAAATGTTTGTTTAGGTCTTCTGCCCATTTTTTTGATTGGGTTGTTTGTTATTGTGGTGTATGAGCTGTTTGTATATTCTGGAAATTAAGCCCTTGTCAGTTGCATCATTTGCAAATATTTTCTCCCATTCCATAAGTTGTCTTTTTGTTTTGTTTATAATTTCCTTTGCTATGCAAAAACTTCTGAGTTTAATTAGGTCCCATTAAAAAAATTTTTTTTGCTTTATTTCTATTGCCTGCGTAGACTGCCCTAGGAGAACTTTACTAAGATTTGTGTCAGAGAATGTTTTGCCTATGTTTTCTTCTAGGAGGTTTATAGTGTCTTGTCTTATGTTTAGGTCTTTAAGCCATTTTGAGTTTCTGAGTCTCTTTATCTTGTTTCATCAGGCACTGGCTCTTTCTAGAACCGACATTCTGGAAGGCAGCTATGCTCACCACTATACCACCAACGCTAGAACCGACATTCTGCATTCTGCTCTGAGACAGACTCTGTGGAGGTCCAAAAAGAAATTAGTCCTAGAGGCTTAGTTTTTTAAAAAATTGAAGTATAGTCAGTTTACAATGTTGTGTCAATTTCTGGTGTATAGCATAGTGATTCAGACATACATATACTACATATATTCCTTTTCATATTCTTTTTCATTATAGGTTACTACAAGATATTGAATATAGTTTTCTGTGCTATACAGAAGAAACTTGTTGTTTATCTACCTAGAGGTTTACTTTTAAGGAAAAAAGGAGGGTTTAAAAAAATGCTTTGACCTCCTATTGGTTTTTTGAAAGACTTAGGGTCTGGCTAGGAGTAGAGGAAAGACCAGTGTTGCACAGTGTTGTGTAACCATCACCACCCTCCATCATCATCCCATACTGTAACCCTGTACCCAACAAATAATAACTCACAATTCCCCCATCCCCGCAGCCTCTGGTAACCACTGTTCTACTTTCTGTCTTTATGAAGTTAACTATCATAGTCACTTTATATAGGTTCGTTAATATTTGGTCGTCTCTGCCGTATCTTCTTTCACTGGTATATTTTAAAGTATATTAGAAACATGACATTTCCCTAAATATTTCCTTGTACATCTGTAGGAAGTAGGAATATATTCCTGAGTAAACTTAAGATCGTATATCAAAGTTAGAAATAAAATTTGCATTAATTCCTTAACGTCATATCATACCAAATCCATATTCAAATTTCCCCGGTTGTCCTAAGAATATCTCTTACAGCTGGTTTATTTAAATCAGGACCACATATTGCATCTGGTTCTTATGCCTTTAAGATGTTTTGGTTCTAGAACTTTCCTCTGCACTTCTCCCCACTCTCATGACATTGGCTTGTTGAAGCAACCAGGCAGATTCCCTGTAGAGTCCCACCTTCTGGGTTGGTGTGATTGTTGGTTTGGTGATGTTAACTCCTTCTCCATCGTCTGCTTTTCCCATAAACTGAAGTTAGACTGAGAACCTGATTAGACTCAGGTGTGGCCAAACTGCATGTTTTTTTTTCCTTTCCCTCTTTAACAGAGGCGCTGGGGATTGAACAGAGGACCTTGTGCATGCCAAACATGCACTCTACCACTGAGCTATAACCCCCACCCCACTGCGTGCTTCTTATTGCCTGGAATTAGGGTGTATCCTATCTGGTGGCCCTACTGTGGGTCCCTCTGTGCCTGGGACAGAGGTTGATTGGGGTAAGGGGCTCTTGCCTGATCCCACAGTGTCAGTAAGTTTTCATTTCCCACCCTGCTACCAGCAAACAATGGTCCCATGTTGAATACTATCCAGTTCCCCCAAACCAGTGCATCCATTCATGATCCCTGCCTGACTCAATTATGCCATTGTTACAAAAAGTGATTTTTCTAATTTTTTTTTCCTTCTACATTTATTCCCTACAATTTGTAAAGAAGAGCTCCCCCCGCCCTTGCGTGGGACAATCTGATTACCCTGAAATAAAGTACCTCCTAAAAAGACGGGATAAATGCTAAATTCTGTCCTTTTCATTACCAATTTTCAGCGTAAGGAGTTGGGGGCATGTTTGGCCTTTAAGGGGCTGAAGATTGAGTGTAATGAAGGATTAGGGTTTTCACTTCCTTCGTTTTCTCCAGTTTCACTTGTGATCCTCAACTCTTGGAAAATAGGCTAGAGCACCATGGGGGATCGGCTGCCCGTCCTCATTGGTGGAGCCTTCTACTTGGAATTTTCTCATTCCAGGCTAGTTCCTTGGGTGGAGTGTGGGTAGGGAAAGTGTCATTTCTGGATCCTGTGTTTGTTCCATTTTTAGAATGAGTTGGGAGGGCCTTTGGAAGGGATATAGTGTCATTATTTCTCGAGGGTTTGTCTTCCTGGCTCTCTGCTTGTGGGATGTCATGGATTTTCATCATCCTCTTCCTGAACGGTCAAATGTTTCCAGTCTTTATTTTGCCCTTCGTATGATTAGCTGATGACTAAATGGGTATCAATCCATCATTCACCTCATATTTATGCAGTGTGGTCTGCGGGCTTCATCCTTGGGCTGTGTCCAGAGGAGGTACCCCTTAAGAAGCTCACTGTCTTGTTTGGGAGGAAAGACATATACATATAGGAGGTGGAGTCAAAAACAGTGCTAGCCCAAACAGAATTGTAAAAGTAAGCTCCAGTGGAATGTCTGGACTGATAGCGATCATCTATTGAACACTTACGCTATACTAGGCACTTATCTTTAAAACCCTTGGAAGGTAGGTAGACATTATCATCCTGTATTTCGATGAGGAAACCGGAGCTCAGAGGGGTTACATAGTTTTTCCAAGGCCACACAGCTCTTAAATCCAGGAGCTCAGCTGTGTCTCAAAGCCCAGGCACCATTCACTGCGTCATGGTATTCTGTTACCAGATATTAAAAGACATAGGAATTTAGAGAAAGTAGGAGATTAACTACAGTTATTATCCACAAAATATTTGTTACTTTGGAAATTAAAATGTTTCCCATTTAGGGGAGGGTATATAGCTCAAGTGGTAGAGGGCATGCTTGACACGCATAAGTTCCCAGATTCAATCCCCAGCACCTCCACCAAGTAGAAATAAATTATTAACAACTCCCCCCACAAAAAAGAAAAATAAAAACTTTAAAAAAATAAATTGTTCCCATTTACATGGGATTGTCAAAATCATAGTGTGCTAGCAATGTATTAAATATATTATGGCAGTAAAGCAAACATTCATAGGAAAAAAAAATATGTCCATAATCTCACCACCATAATAAGTGCTTCCGGTCTTTGCCTGTGGACATTGGTCTTCCTCCGTGGTGTTCATCATTGTGCATATATTATTTCATATTTTTTGGTTTGGCTTTATATACATAGTAAAGATTTTCATGAAGTTTTGTTTTTAAATTTTAAAGACTGGATAATATTCCATTGATGGAATAGAGAAGAATTTGCTTAACTGGTAAATT